CATTTGTTTTTTACTGGCATGATAACAACAGATTATGTAAGTGACTAAACCGCGGAGGAAATCACTTGTAAAAAATATACTCTTTCTGAACCAATTTTAAAACGTTGCTCATTATTTCGATATCAAAGTAAGCGTTAAATTTGTTTCGTTTTTTACTAATTGTTTCGCTGTTGCAGCGTGATCGTAGAGAGAGCACTGTTAGTAATAAATCGTATTGGTAAAATTTATCTCTGCGTCTTAACAATTTATAAAACAGATAAGTATGTAGCCCAAAACTATAAATAAGTTACGGCAATTAACAGAAATCTTAATTATAAATGATACATTTTTAATCTTACCTCAAATCTTTAATTAAGTTGGTGCGAATCACCACACTAGCATTAGGTTTGTTTCTAAAATTGTTAACGAATACTTTTTTGAATTATTTTTAACATCGTTTGTGAAAAACATTAAGGTTATGGAAACCTAAATCTTTTAATCTGTCCATTTGTATCTGATTTTACCAGTGACCTCGTTTCTTGAAGCTTATAGATTTTCTACTATTGTAACGAGAGTTACCCTTTCTTGTAAACGTAGTGCAAACAAAACAAAATCCAGATCTATAAACACAATACGGTTGCTAAGCTGTCACAAACTCCTAAACTGCAGCTAAAATGTAAAGGGTTGTGCAGTATGAGTACTAAGTTGTGTAGTGGCTTTATCAATTGCATCGTTTTTTAAACTCCTTTCCTCACTTTTTTTCATCATTATTTAAACAGTTCAGACGAAAAACCTATTGTGTGCATGTCTGCGTTAAACATTACTTATGTGTATATTATTGACACACTAGATAATTTAAAAGTGATTTCTGCACTATGTATGTTTAGACGGCGAGATTATTTTATAATATGCTTAGAGACTTGTGTTGAACTGCCCACGTGAAGGTGTTAATTTATTAGGATTACGTGCCGTAAACTATAACCATTAAATCACATTAATTACGTTATCACATTTACAGAAATAAAAATCTTAAACATTTTCTGTAGGTGTAGGTCAAAGAATTTAAAAATCGATTGAGTGGTGTTTGATTTTACCCATTACAAGCCAAAACACATTATGTAGAAAACTTTATAGTGGGCACTTAAAAAGGGGACGTGTTTATATAAAGAACTGCACACAACAGACTTTAAAGGATTATACTCGTATTGGGTAAAGTTAAACCTATATGTTTATAATGGATGGTAATTAATGACCAACAGACTTTGGCTTAGACTTTGTTAATTAATTGATTCTCTTAAGTAGTACTTAGAAAATGTCGAGTGATTCAAAGTAATGTTAAAATATTTTCTTAACTACGCTGGACAACAGCACTGCAAAGAGAAGGAAAACTTGAAGCAAATCCTACACCAACCCGTCTGGCCAGCTTGGTACAGTAGGCCAAAATCTCCTTTCTAAGCAGAGGTCTATGTCCAGCAGTGGACTATTAAAGGCTGTTGATGATGACATAGGTACAATATGCATTATGCTCATGCTCCGTTTCGTTTCGGGTTAGTCAGAAACGATAGACCGCTCACTATTACGATCCTGCATGACGCAGCTTAGGCCAATTCCCATTCGTCGGAGCCTTTCACAAATGTTCACCGCGTTCCAAATAAATCTACATTTATTCCTTTTGTAACACCACCGTGAAGTTCAATAAAGTATAATTAGTTACAAGTGCTCAGAAATATGAATTGTATAATATCCTAATATAATGATGTTAGTAAATTGTTGTGACATGTATAATTTCTCTGTGCATCCACTATATACGGTGAGCATTCTTCGTAAGTTGATACACTGAGTCACTTTAGGGCTGACACTGCTTCTAAGTATGAAGTATTTTCAATACGTTACTATGACTGATAGTGTGATAGATCTATATCTAAAACGTTGTACACGTAATGGTTGTATTGATTTTATATGTATAGAACTAGCGGACCCATAAGACTTTGTCATGTACACACTTCTTAACTACAAAAACATTTTGTAGTGAAACTAAACCATTCTCGAATCCACTTGAATACACACAAAAAAAAAAACGTGAAAATCGGTCCAGCCGTTTAGGAGGAGTTCAGTCACATACACACGCGCAGAAGAATTATGTATATAAAGATATGAACTAATCTTTTTATTCTGGTACTAGTTATAAATGAATGTATTGTTATAAATACTGCTAACTCCTTTCATGTTCTCTTAAAGTTTAGGCCTCAGTTTAGTTATCAACTTGTTAGCTTTAAAAATAAGATATAATATTAAATTTTTTAATGGATGACCCTACCCGACCACAACCACCTGGCACAGCGCCTAGGTCAACTGGTGCCGCTCCCTTGCAGTACTCGTTATAGGACAAAGATTTATTGATAATATGCCAAACATCACTTAAACTTTGTATTACATAATGATCTCACCTACTGATTTATATGGAGTCATTGAATATGTAGTGTATACGTAATGCAGTAGATACATGAAAGGTCCGTCGGTCTACATAATACAGTTTCAACTAGGTCACAAACAATGTTGCATAAGTTTGTTTGTTTTATATGTTTATTTTAATGTTCCGCTTTTGGACGGATTTACATACATTATCGTTTTCCAAAAGTCGCGTTTCTTATATAATATACTAGCTGAGACCCGCGGTGTTACCCGCGTTTGTTGTTATAACCGCGGGCAACGCCGCGGGGCGAAGCTAGTCTAAAAAAAAAGTAGCCCAAGTTACCCCTTATGTCATCAGCTATCTGCCAGTGAAAGTCCCGTCGGTCCAGCCGTTCCAAAGATTACCCGGAACAAACATACAGACAGACAGACAGACAAAAATGGTAAAAAATGTTATTTTGGCATATGTACCGTGTAAACATACATATGCATTTAGTAAAAAGCGGTTATTTTAATATTACAAACAGACACTCCAATTTTATTTATTTGTATAGATAAGTTTTTAATCAGTAATTTTTTAATTTATAATGTTATCTTTTGTATTATTAAAACAATAGATCTGGGCCTATATTCTGCTATGTTATGTTCACGCCAAGCCACTGTCATACCACTGACACGCTATTGAGATGCCATCGAGTGGCCATTGGCATCGGTATAAATATCGGTAGTCTAAACTAACTCAGTGTCTTTACAGTGGCTATGGAATGGCAGTGACTCATCAGTGGTGATATAAAAAAAAAGGCCATATTTGGAAAAAAAATAAATCATTTCCTTATAATTTGAAAATATATTACGTTTTTTTGAGGATATGATATATTTATATTTCCGAATATGGCAATCTTAGTAGTTGCGCCTATACTGATAACATTTAGTTATCGTACTGTGTATTGTTCATTTATTACCTAAATTTCTGGAACTGGAGTGGAATAAACTTGCACTGGAATAAACTGCATTAGGCATAGCCTGTGCGCGATGGTAACCAGACTGCAGATAAACATATTTATATACTTCTAATTACATACATATTGAAGATAAACAACACCCAAACACAGAACAAATTATCGTGCTTATCACACAATATTTATCCTGAAATCCTGGAATCGAACCTACTACCTCTGGCATAGCAGTCAAGGTCACTATCCACTAGACCAACAGGCCCGTCAAATGTGATTGTTGTTGTTGTTAAGGTATTCACTAACTAGACCGTCATGCACTGCCAATAAAACTTTGTTTAGAGGCAAAGTGTGAAAGTTGTAATCGTTTTGAACATAAGAGTGAATTTATTTTAAATATTTAACTATTTTCTAAACAGCAAAATCTGTTTGTTGAATTCTTATATTTAGTTGTTTCTTTCAATATCTTAATCTTTTAAGTAAAGTTATTACGTTTCGATCAAAATGACTTAGACAAATAATATATCTAATACTAGCTCGTTGTGTAAAAAATCTACACTGTTTTGGATGCCTTAATTCAACAAATTTAGTCTGAGTAAATTGGAGTTATATTATAAATCTATATTCATCCGTAACAAA